CAGTGTCCCCAGTCACTGTGACAGCCTAGCTGCTGCCTGTTTTCTTAGTCTAGGAAAGTGCATAGTCCCTAGTTTGTTCAGCGTCACGACCCTCTTTGTCCAGTATTGCATAGACATGGAATGATCACTTATCCTATTGGAAAGTAGTTTGTCTTGACTGAGATTTCCAGATAGAGGACATGGAATACACCTTAGGTACCTGATGCTGTTCTGCAACCAGTTTTGTGGTGCATTTTGCGGTCTTCCCTGCCTTCGCAACCCTAAAGTTGGTACAGACTCTGTCTCCTGGACCTGGTTAGTTCTCTCCCCCCCCCCATTAGATTTTAGACAAAAAATCCTCCCCAGTTCCTTCAGGATAAGAAAAAAGAGTCCTGCATAATACTCCATGGAGCTTTGTAATGTTTTGAACAACCAATTAAAAAAAAAAAAAAAAGAAAAAAGAGTCACCTTTCTTTTCTTTTATTGTTGTTTATTTTGTCTTTATTTTGAACTTCTGCTTTATTGTTGGGAATGGCTAGGTCCTTCCTTACTTGTTTAACATTATTGTATGCATGTAACTTGATCTTGGAATCATAAAAACTTGTTCTCCAGCTTTTTTTTTTCTATTGAGAAACAAAATTAGCCTTCAGTGTCTAAATGTCTAAAATTTATTGTTCTATCACCTGCTGAAACTAGGGACAATCATATTTCAAAATTCCAGGAGACTTAGTAACATTTTGAGTTACTAGGGCAAAATTACGGTTCTTTGTAATTCTTCTGCAACATGGGCTTAATATAAAATAGCAATAACTCTCAAAAGCCCAGAGTGTCCAGTTAGTTTGTGTAGCTCACCATTATGGAGCATGCTAGAAAGGGTAAGTCACTGTGCTATGACTAACTTAAACTGATAATGCATGAAAAATGACATGGATTTAAAAAGGAAAAAAATTACATTACGACTAAGTGCTTCTTCTTCTTCTTCTTTTTTTTTTTTTTGTACCAGGGATTGAACTCAGGGGCACTGGACCACTGAGCCATATCCCCAGCCCTATTTTGTGTTTTATTTAGAGACAGGGTCTCACTGATTTGCTTAGTGCCTCATTTTTGCTGAGGCTGTCTTTGAACTTGCAACCTTCCTGCCTCAGCCTCCGGAGCCACTGGAATTATAGGTGTGTGCCACCTTTAACTGGTCACAATACTTCTAAATAATTGTAACACTCTACCTTCCCATTTGCTCAGCTTAGCCCTTTTTCTCTGTGTCTCAATCAGAACTCTCATTAAAATATACATTATTTGAAAACTTGAATTTGATGTCATGCTCCTACTCTTGTAACAGGCCACATACCAACGATTTCAGTCCATTGTGATGGAATTGATGAGATTCATAGGGGGAGATGAGAACAGTGAAATAAAAACAGTGCCCTGGAAAGTAGAGCAGATAACTTTAACAGAAAGGAATATAAACTCATAAAGGTTCATTTGCCTCCCAATATAGCAAGCAAAGAAGGATAACGGTAATACTTTTCACATGATCGTATTGTTATTTCAGTATATATTTGTTTGGTGTCTGTCCTGGACCAGACTCTTTTGGGTACTGGAGACATGTCATAGATAAAACGTCTTTGGCTGAATGGTGCTGACGTTTCATTGGGAGATGAGTGAGATGTTAAATAATAAATACAGCATATAAATAACTTACATAGAATGTTAAAAGGTGACCAGTGCGGAAGTAAAAACAAGTAGAGCAGGACAAGAGGGAACAGGAGTTGGGGTGTTCCAGTTTTAAATGGAGTGGGTAGGGGAGTCATTAGGGAGGGGGTGTCATCTCAAGCAAAGATTTGATGGAGAGGAGAAGGTTATCTTTGTGGAAATCTGTGACAGGAGCATTTCTGGAAGAGGACAGCTAGTACCTAACGGGTCTGGAGAGACTGAGGGAAATAGGAGGCTGGTGTGTTGGCGTGGAATGAACAAGTGGGAAAGAGGTGGGGGCCGGATGGTGTTGGGCAGTGAGGTGAGAAGCCCCCACCAAGGTTTTGAGCAGAGGACTTTCCTCATCTGAGCTAACGTTTTAGCGATATCATGGCTTGCTGGCAGTAATTCAGGTGGCGGTAATGGTGACTTGGTTCTTGGTAATGGTAATGGAGATAATGAGAAGCGGTTATATCCTGAATATATTTGGAAAGTGGACCTGTGAAGATTTCCAAAGGCATTAGCTGTGAATTGTGAGAGAAAGAGAGGAGACACCCAATGATGTAGGAGGGAAAATTGAGAGGATGGGTCCTAGAATCAGGCGGAGAGAGAGGAAGGTCCTCTGCATTGGGTGCTGCTGATGGGTCTGGTAAGATGAAGACAGAATCAGCCACTGGTTTTAGTGAGAAGAAGTCATTAATAACCTGATTCACGGAGACCTGGGTGAGGGAGCAGGTTCAGTGGAATGAAGAGGACCTGATTGATGTGAGATCAATTAAGAAAATGAGGAGAGGATGTGGACAGTGAAAATAAATTATTTTTGAAGCTTTTTGCCACAAAGGGGATATGATTATGGGGAACTGAGGTCAGGGTTGGTTTTTGGTTTTAAATGGGAGAATTATAAAGTGCATTTATAAGATTCTTAAGGTACTCCATTTCGAAAGAAGTGAAGTTCAGTGGATTAGACAAAGGGGAATGAAGGGAAGGGAGCGGGATGGGAATAGGAAAGACAGTAGAATGAATTGGGCATCACTTTCCTATGCTCACATATGAGTGAAATGAGTCTATTGTGATAGGAATGGTCCAAAATGATACAGAAAAGAAAGGAACAAAATGTCCTCACAGGTGCTAAGGGATAGGATCTAGCATGTGAGGGAAGAGACTGGCTTTAGCCATGAGCAAGGCTAGTTCATCTGTGCTTGTGGGTCGGTGGTAGACCATTTTGGTATGTTCTTAGTTGAGGGGTTGGATGATCACTAAATGACTTGGAAAAGCAGGGTCTTGGCTGACAGTAAGGATGGGGGCAAATACTGGATGTTTGAGGAAGAAGGAGAAGTTGTGAAATTGCCATTTGGGGATGGGAAGGGCCACGGTAAGGTGACCACTGGACAGCATCGAGGTGGTCAGCACTCTTGGGGGCTCCTCCAGCCACATTCAGCAGCATGCCTGTAGGATGAAGCGTCAAGCAAATACGAGATGGGTGAGGTGTCCTACAGTGTCGGTAAAAATTGAGCATGGAATTTAAAATGGAAAAGGATGGAAGGAAGGATCTCAAGGGGATGAGGGACAGTGAAAAGCAAGAAGAACCAGTGACTTGGAATTGCCAGAGGGCTTAAAGGATTGTTGGAATTGGGCCACTAGTAGGAGCAATCCAATAGACAGACAGGGAGTGATGTTAAAAGCAGGGTGCCAAATTGAGATTATGGAGGAGTTGTAGTTATTAGTAATGAAAAATATTGTGTGTGACTAGGACAGTGAGGGAGGCAGGGCAGAAGACACATTTATTGAAGAGAAATTCAAGAAATAGCGAGGCTAGGAGGTTGGAACTTCCGTCACTGTGAGTATTGAAATTGCCAACCATGAGACAGGGACTGTACTGGAGAGTGACAGTAGGGAAGAAGCTAAATTCATGCTGAAAGCCAGGCATGGTGGTGCACGTCTGTAATCCCAGCGGCTCTGGAGGCTGAGGCAGAAGTTCAAAGCCAGCCTCAGCAAGAGTGAGGCACTAAGCAACTCAGTGAGACCTTGTCTCTAAATAAAATACAAAATAGGTCTGGGGGTGTGGCTCTATGGTTGAGTGCCCCTGAGTTCAATCCCCAGTACCCACCCCTCCCCACCAAAAAAATCATGCAGAAATAATGGTAAATGATAGGCATGGTAGATGGCTTTTAACAGGCAGAGAGTCTGATGATATCAGAGAAAGCGGGAGGGCTGCTGGGGAAGTTCCTGGAGGAGAGCTGGGTTTCAACTGCAACAGGAGGCAAAGCCTCAATGTGAGAGAGGATATGGGTGGGACCCAAGTGTGTGTGTGTGTGACTGTGTTTGTGTTGACTGACATAAGCAGGGATAAAGGGTGATGTGAGATGAACTCAAGGTTGATGATAGTGATGAGGCTGTGAACCCTGGGTGTAGGGATGGCTGGCCATCTGGATTCCTGTTTCTGCCTGTCTGTCTGAATGGAGGACTGGGGAAAGAAGCCCATCTCTTGTGTGCACCAAGGGACAATGGTATTTAATACTTCTTACTGAGAAAAGAATGAATGAGAGAAGTAGCTGGTACTTCCTTTGCTTACTGTGTGCCAGAGCCTATGGCAAGGCTTAGGGGGATCATTCAGTTCTCGTGATGGTCTTTCTTAGAGGTGAGGGCTCATCCCTCCCTGAAATGAGGTCTCAAGGTCTCACAGACATAGGATTCAAACCCAGGTCTCTGACGAATTACAGCTCATTTACAGTTAATTCAGCCTCAATGTGTTCTCTAGGGCAGATTTTCATCACAGATGTCAAGGCTGAACCGCAATGACCCTATGAACCTTTTAAAACAACTTCAGGGTCTGGGAGTGTAGCTTAGTGGTAGAGTGCTTGCGTAACATGGGCAAGGCCCTAGATTTGAGCCCTAATACCTCAAATAAATAAATAAATAAATAAATAAATAAATAAATAAATAAATAAATAAATAAATAAATAAAAATCTTCACATGTTCCAGGGTTACATTTACTTCAAGACTTTGTTTGGGGTTGGGGACTCCTCGCTTTTTCTTGTATAGTACTATCAAGCCTGTCTATGAAGTTAACTGTTTTCTCAGTAAAAAGTATTCAATACCATTGTTCCTTTGCAATTAACCAGTGTTTTTTTTTTTCTTGTTTTTTTTAATCTCATGTCAACATGCTATTTGTAAAACACCGTTTGGATGAATGTTCAAAATTTAGTCTAAGAACTAGAGCGTTGGTAAGCTTGTGCTGTGATAGACCTTAGAAGTTTGCTATATTCCCCGGGATCCTGAGGCTTCTCATTTTGCAACTATTGTTTTTTTTTTTTTTTTCCCCCTCTGGTAGCCAAACAGGAAGACACTCAGAAGAAAACCTTCACCTGCTGGATAAATTCACAGTTGGCCAAGGTGAGGAAAAAAGAGCAAAGTGAGTTATGAAGACATTTGCTACTCTTCTCATTCCCTCAGTTTTGACCCCAAGGAGGCCATTAAAAAGATGACACCTGTGACCTGTGAAAGGTTGCAGGATGTCTTTTCATGAGAGAATGTGCTGACCGTCACCTCTGCTGTGGTGTATTTGGTATTCTTTCTCAATACACATAAGGGGTACTTTGGTTATGTGTAGGGGACACTGTAGTAAAAAGTAGCAATGTCTCTTTCATCAGATGACATAAAAACAATGATTCGTTTATACTGAGTGTTATATGGTAGGCACTATCTGGAATCTCTACATGTAATGATGATGAGGACTTATGACATTTAAATGACTTCACAGCATTTCTGTGAGGTAGGCGGTATTATTCCTGATAAAGGTCAAGGAAACTAAAGCACAGAGAAGTTATGCGATTTGCCTATAGTGACACAGCCTGTAAGTGATAGTGCTGGGATACAAGCCCAGGCAGTCTGGACTCAGAGGCTTTGATCATAATCTGTGTGCCATCCTACCTCTCTGTGATGCTGAGCACCTCGAATAACCTAAATGCAGGATGAATGAGTCCCTTACTAACACCGTTCCCTTTCCCAATACAATGGTTGTAGTTTGAACAAAGGGTAAATACATAAGCAGGTTACTACAGAAATGTAACCTGCTTTCTAAATGGGCCACTACTGGCTGATTTTGAATGTCTTTCATGTCACTTTTACAGACAGGTTTTAAGTTCTCAGGGAAAGCTCCACACAGAAAAGTATTGTATTACTGGAAATTTGCCATGAAATAAATTAAGCCCACTACCTTTCTTACTATGGCTCGATGTGGAACTTTGCAGGAGCTTTGCCATTTTATTAATTAAGAAGAAAATTGCTGCTGAATCTTAGCTTTTTTTAAGATACAAAGTGCATTTATAAGATTCTTAAGGTACTCCATTTCTAAAAGAAGAGAAGTTCAGTGGATTAGACAAAGGAGAATGAAGGGAAGGGGAGGATGAGAATAGGAAAGACAGTAGAATGAATTGGACATCACTTTCCTATGCTCACATATGAGTGAAACCCCATATCGTGTGCAACCAGAAGAAAGAGAGGTAATACTCCATGTATGTATAATATATCACAATACACTCTACTGTCATGTATCTAAAAAATAAAATAAAAATCAAATTCAAAAAAGAAGAAAATTGCTGCTGAATCTTAGCTTTTTTGAAGATACAGAGTGCATTTATGAGATTCTGAAGGTCCTGCACTTTTGATTTGATGATTTTTCAAATTATCTGAGTTTGATTATTTTTCTTGTGTCTTTTTTCAGCACACCTCTCCCTCAGTTATATCAGACTTATTCGCAGACATTAGAAAGGGGCATGTCCTCTTGGATCTGCTAGAAGTACTCTCAGGACAGCAGTTGGTAAGATTTTATGTGACACAAAGAAACTTTTTGTTGATTTAAAAAATGCATTTCATATTTCTGAGTAATATATCTGTTTGAACTTCATAGCCTCGTGATAGAGGATCTAATACACACCAGTGTAGACTCAATATAGAACATGCTCTCAAGTTCCTAGAAAACCAATCAGTGAGTATAAATTTCACCTGAAAATTTGCAGGAGTGATTATATTGCTATGGGATATTTTTTTTCTTTTAATCTGCACTTCTTCATTTCCAGGTCAAGCTAATAAATGTCCACGTTGCTGATATTATAGAAGGAAACCCATCCATTATTCTTGGACTAATTTGGACAATTATACTGCACTTCCATGTAAGTAGTGTGGTGATAGGAAAGTTACTTCTCTAATTCCCACAGTTTGAACTGAGTGGAATGCCATAACTGTCACTCAATGCCTGATTCAATCTTGAGCTTTTCCACAAAGAGGATGCTCTGGAAATCTTAAATAGGCAGAAAATATGCAGCAAGTCTTTTGCCAGTTTTTTTTTCGTTCTTGCATTTCTTTTATTATTTATTTATTTATTTTGGTACGGGGATTGAACTCAGGGGGCACTTAACCACTGAACTACATCCCCAGCCCTATAGTGCCTTGCATTTGCTGAGGCTGGCTTTGAAGTCATGATTCTCATGTCTCAGCCTCCCCAGCTGCTGGGATAATAGGCATTCGCCACTGAGACTGGCTTCCACAGAGATTTTTGAGCTCTTATGATAATCTGGCTCTTGTACTAGGGCACATCAAGATATACTGACAGTTATAGTCCTGACTTTATGAAACTTATGACTGATAAATATTGTTCTTTTAGGCCTGGGATGTTGACTTAGTGTCAATTTTTCTGTACTACTTAAAAGATTGCATTTTTATGTATATTCATAATTACTTTAAAAATAATTTAAAAAAATATGTGGGGAAGCCAATGCTTATTTTAGAAAAACTAGAATATAGCATAACTAATTTATATAAAATGTAACACATACAAACCCAGACTACATACTACTTTTGGATACATGCATTTGTATTTATGATAAACTAATATGCATAAAGATGATGAAGACTAAATTTAGGATTGTGGTTTCTTTCCTCTTGGAAAAGAGGGAAATGGAATTAGAAAAAGCAACAAAACCAAATATGGTAAAATATTAAAATTTTATAATTCATGGGTATATTTATGAATTATCTTTTGAAGGCATGTGAAATATAATTCAAAATTTCAATGGATAATAAGAAAATCATTTATAATCCACCATAGATAACTATGATAAACAATTTGCTGTACAATCTTCATGATGAGCAAGAATTTATATATATATATATACATATATATATATACATATATATATACATATATATATATATTCATACATGTACAGTCTGTCCTCTGTATCCATGTGTCCCACATCAATAGATTCAACTAATTGAGGCTATAAGATATTCAGAGACAAAATTCACAGATTTTTTTCTTTTTCATTATTTTTTAAATAATGTGGTAGAAAAATCATTTATATAACATTTACATTGTGTTAAGTATTATAAGTAATTGAGATGATATAAAGTATACAGAGGATGTACATAGTTAGATGCATATACTTTGCCACTTTATATAAGAAATTTGAACATTTGGTACCTGGAGGGATCCTGGAGCCAATCCCCCATAGATAACTAGGGACAACTGTGTATCTTAAACAAATGGGATCCTGTTATCCATACTGTTTGAAAACCCATTCTAATAAATACCTTTTTGAATTTATATATATTTTAATGGATATATATATATATAGATATAGATATATAATATTTCATTAATGAACTATCAGAATGCTCACAATTATTTGTGTTATAAGTTATTTAAAAAAAGAATACCCTTAAGATAAAACCTTTGTATACAACCTTAACTGTTTCTGTGAGCCAAATTCCACAAAATGGAATTGTGCCATAGGATTTACAAACTTGAACCTTTGTTTTAATATTTTACATTAACTTTTGTTGGTGACTAATACACATAGAGAAGCACAAAGAAGTCTTATGTATAGAGCTTGATGAATTTTCATAAATTATAAACACACCCATGTGGGTTGCGGGTATAGCTCAGTGGCAGAGCACTTGCTTAGTATATACAAGGCTCTGGATTCAATCCCCAGCACTGCAAAAAAATAGAGTTAAATCAAAGTTTTTAAAAAGCACATCCACATAACTGTGACCAAAAATGAAATTGTAGAACTTTTCCAGCACCCCAGGTCTTCTCTCCGAGTCTCTGTCTTTCTTTCCTAAATATAACCAACCCTTTGATCCTTATTATTGATTTGTTTAGCAGATTTTTTGGGGGGGGATTTGAATTCAGGGGTCTTTAACCACTGAGCCATATCCCCAACCCTTTTATGTTTTATTTTGAGACAGGATCTCACCAAGTTGCTTAGGTCTCACTAACTTGCTGAAGCTGACTTTGAACTTGCTATCCTAGTGCCTCAATTTCCTGAGTCACTAGGATAATAGGCATGTGCCACTGTGTCTGGCAGTTTAGCATCTTTAGTTCCACAGAAAGCGAATTCTAAGTGTGTTCTCTTAAACACACTATACATTCTGTTGTGTCTGTTATTTCACTTCACATCCTTTGCAGGGTTCATCTTGTTGTAACACGTGTCAATACATCTTTCATTTCCATTGCTGTGTGTGAACATACAGTTGTATGAATGTATCACAACTTGTTTATTATTCACTGTTGATGTGCATTTTCTTTTTGTTGCTAGTTTTCAGCTCTTATAACAAGTCCACTCCCACTATAATGGCATGAATCCATTCATGAGGGCAAAACCCTCAAACCTAATCCCTTCTTAAAGGTCTTGCCTCCTAATTCTTCCAGGTTTCTAACACTTGAGCTTTGGGGACACTTGCAAACCATGGCAACTATTTACTGCTAAATGGTTTATTAATGGGATCATTTGATTTTCATTCCTACTGGAACTGAGATTTCTAATTCAATCCTTGCTAACACTTGGCATTTAAAATTTTTTATTTTAGTTCTGATGTTGTGTGTAATGATTTGTAGAAGCTTTAAAATATATTCTAGATAAAAGTTCTGTTGGACACACATAAATTGCAAATAAGTTCTCTGACTCTGTGGCTTGCCCTTTTAATTTTTTAATGAACAGACATTTATCATTTTAACATAGTTTGAATTTATCAACTTCTTTTATGGCCATTAGTTTTCACATCCTTTTAAACAGTGTTTTTTCCTGTTGCCAGTATGTTGAAGATATTCTCTTACATAATTTTCTAGAACACTTCTGTCCAGTAGTATTTTTCCTCTCTCCCTCTTTGGTGGTTGTGCTGGGGATTGAACTCAGAGCCTGCTAGGGGAGCACTGTACCAGTGAGCCACATCCTCAGCCTTCAATAGAACTTTTCGTAATGATGGAAATGTTCCATAGCCGCACTGTACAAAACAGTAACCATAATCTCCACGGCTACTGAACTCTTGAAATGTGGCAGGTATGACTGAGGAACTGAATTTTAAATTTTAATTCATTAATTTAGATCTCACATCTGTCTAATGATGATCCTATTGTATATTATAGTTCAAAAAACTTAATTGTCTCATATTTAGATATACAATCTTTCAACAATGGGGTTGATTTTTTTTAGTATATATATATATATATGTAAAATTTTTAAGTTTTAGGTGGACACAATATCTTTATTTTACATTTATGTGGTGCTGAGGATCAAACCCAGCGCCTTGCGCATGCTAGGCGAGCACTCCACCACTGAGCCACAACCCCAGCCCCTTATTTAGTATATTTTATTGAAGCAATCAAAAATTATTTTTTCCCATATGGCTACCCAGTTGATTCAACACTATTTATTGAAAGGGTTGTCATTTTCCTTCTCTACTATAGTAACACCTTCATAAATGAAGTAACCATAAATGGGTGACTCCCTTTTTAGATTACCTATTCTGTTCCATTATTTATCTTTGTACCAGTACTATACTATATTAATTCCTATAGCAATACAGTAAGTCTTGATATCTGATGGTGTATCTTGTCCATCTTGTTCTTCAGAATTATCTTGGTTATTCTGTGCTTTTTGCATTTCCACCCAGAGTTTATAAATAACTTGTCAATTTCCTCATGCACACACACAATTTGCTGCGATTTTGATTAGGATTGAATATGTGGAATGTTTTTTAAGAAACTGGTGTCTTTAAAATATTGCTTCTTCTAATTAATATAATTTAATTATTGTTCTGTTTAGAATATACTCTGATTTCTCATTTGGCCCATACATTTATAAGAATCTATTGCTTGATTGCCAAGTATTTGGTGATTTTTGTTTGTTTCATCTTCATCATGAAATAAAATTTTAGTGTGGTCAGAGAATATTATCTGAATGATTTCAGTTTTACAAAATTGTCAAGACTTAGCTGGGTATGGGGTGCATCCTGTAATCCCTGTAACTCAGGAGGCTGAGGCAGAAGGATGGCAAGTTCAAGGCCAGCCTCAGCAATTTAGGGAGGACCTAGGGAACTTAGAAAGATTCTTTCTCAAAATAAAAAGGGCTGGAGATTTAGTTCAGAGGTAAAGCTCCCCTATCGCTCTGCCCACTCCCCACCAAAAAAAGCCGAGGCTTACTTTAATGGCTTAGCATGGTCAATTTTAGTTTACATTTTAAAAGAATAGTGGTTTTGGGGCTGGGGATATGGCTCAAGTGGTAGCGCGCTCGCCTAGCATGCTTGAGGCACTGGGTTCAATTCTCAGCACCACATAAAAATAAAAATAAAGATATCGTGTCCACCTAAAAAAAAAAGAATATTGGTTTTGCCATTTTAATTACAGTGCCTATCATCAATGCCAATCAGATGAAGTTTGTTAATGTTGTTGGTCACATCTATAATTATAATTAGTTTATTTATTTTTATTTTTAAAAAATATTTAATTTTTAGTGTTTTAGGTGGTCACAATATCTTTATTTTGTTTTTATGTGGTCCTGAGAATCATACCCAGTGCCTCATGTATGCTGGGCGAGCGCGCTACCACTTGAGCCACATCCCCAGCCTCTAATTAGTTCATTTTTGAGATGGGGTCTTGCTGTGTTGCCCAGACTGGGTTCAAACTCCTGGGATCAAGGAATCCTCCTGCCTCAGCCTTCAGAGTATAGGGACTATAGGCATATGCCATGTACCTGGCTCATGTATTACTATTGATTATATGGTTACTGTGTCAATTTTTGATAAAAATATTTTAAATACTTCTATGTTTGTGGATTTATCTTTTTAAGTTTTGGATAAACATTAGCATGTTGCCCCTCCCCCCAAATTTGAACCAATTGCCATGTTTACTAACGATATGAATATCCAGTTTCTCATAGCTGGGTGTGGTGGCACATGCCTATAATCCCAGTTACTCTGGAGGCTGAGGCAGAAGAATCACAAGTTCCAAGCTAGCCTGGGCAACTTAGAAAGACCTTATCTCAAAATTTTAAAAAAGACTATAGATATAGCTCAGTGGTAGATAGTGGTTGCATAAAATGCTCAAAATTCTGGGTTTGATTCTAGTACTTAAAAAAAAAGTAGTTTCTCTTATTTTTACCATCATTGGATGTGATGTTTTTTAACCTGTGTTATAAAAAAAACTCCTATTCTTTCATTGAATACATTTAGCATTCGTAAATTACTTATTATTATATTTTTGGTACCAGGGATTGAACTCAAAGTGCTTAATGAGTAAAACATTAAGAGTAAAGCATTAAGAGTAAAACTGAATAAAACATCTCCAGCCCTTTTATGTATTTTATTTAGAGACAGAGTCTCACTGAGTTGCTTAGGCCCTCGCTAACTTGCTGAAGCTGGCTTTGAACTTGCGATCCTCCTGCCTTAGCCTCTCAAGCCACTGGGATTCTAGGTGTGCGCCACCATACCAGGCTAGCTTTCTTAAATTACTACTGGAATGTACTTAATGGCAATTTTATTTTTTTTCTTGGGACTTGTTTTCCATATGGTTAATTGTTTTTCTTTCCTGCATGTACATTCTTTAAAAAAAAAAAAAAATATATATATATATATATATTTAGTTGTCAGTGGACCTTTATTTTAATATATTTTAAATATATACATATATTTAAAATAAATTTATAAAATATATATTTAAAATATATTAAAGTAAATGTATGTATTTATTTTAATATATTTTAAATATATATATATATATAGTTGTCAATGGACCTTTATTTTACTTATTTATATGAATTGCTGAGAATCACATCCAGGGCTTCACACATGCTAGGCCAGTCCTGTACCACTGAGCTACAACCCCACCCACTGTTTTAAAGTATTTTTAGTGGTAGATGGACACAGTACCTTTATTTTATTTATTTATATGTGATGCTGAGGATCAAACCCAGTGCCTCACACATGCTAGGTAAGCACTCCACAACTGAGCCACAACCCTAGCCCTGTACATTTGTTCTTGATGTTTAATGATTTAGGTGCATTTTGATTGGTTCAGTCTCTAAAGATATTGCAACCCAGGAGTTAAGTTTAGTTTAGTTTGGTTTAGTTTGGCAAATGTTGGGCTTCAGGGAAGTGCTCTGTAACCAGGTCAGGGAATGAATGGATGCTTGCCTTCTATGTGGGATGCCATACCTGGGTAAGGCCAGGAATGACCCAAGTCTAGATGAAAGTATGGAAAGCCAAAGTATGACCTAGATGATAGATGCTGTTACTGAAGGATTTGTCCAGAGCGCCTTTACCAAGAGTTAGCTGTCACTATTACAGAATACTTTTTGGTCTTCTTTTGGCTGAGGATTTTGGTTCAGTCCTGGTAACATGTTTTTATACATGATGACAATCATGCTTTCCTTAGATTGAGGATCTTGCCCAGTCTGATTCTTGCAATTACAATCAACCTTCCCCGGATGATATGAGTGTGGCTGATTCATCTCCTACCTCAAGTCCTCCAGCAAAGAGATGCCTCAAAGTCCAAGAGCGATGGCAGTTGTCTGCAAAGAAAGTTCTTCTCTTGTGGGCTCAAGACAAATGTGCCAGGTAAGTTCTTTGCTGGGATCCAGAGAGACACAGGACAGTCGTTTCCACTAACACAGTGACTTCCAGGCCTGAAGATCAGGCCTAACTGGGTTTAACAGCTACCCCAAGGCCTCCTTCACCTAAAGAGAAAATTCTATCTCCCTTCATATTTTAGTGAGTGTTCCAAATATGGAAGTTCATGAGCTTGGCCAGTTTTGGTTTTGAAGGCCAGAAAGTGAAATATCTGGTTAAACTTACTCCCATTGCAGTGTTTAGGTGGTCTGCTGTTGTGTGGAAATTTTCTTCTTCAGGCACTCTTCTTCTGTGCATTTGCAGGATGGGTTTAGATTTAAGGGATTTTACCACACTGTGAGATCTTTGAAAGTTAAACCATATCTTAAGTGACTGTGTATCCCCAGGACTTAGGAAATGAGAGTTCATGCTAGGTGTTCCATTAATGTGTGTTGAATGTATCAATTAACCAATAAGTGAGGAAGTAACCAATACGTAAAGTTTTCTCTTGATACTGTCATGATTACATGAAGAAACCACAGTCTTTATTACTTAGAAGTAAAGACTTTATTAGTTATTACTCAACTCAGTTGGGAAACAAAGAAACTAGAGACAACGTGTTTTTAAAAAGTGGAGATGATAAAGGGAAAGTAGTGCTCATAATTTATTGTTAAAGAAATGTATTTCTGCTTTGGGGAAACATTTTCTTTCTGTTTTCACCAATGGTTATTCTAGCCATTGGAGTTTAGGAAGGATGAGGGATTAATATGTAGGAGATCTCCCCACTAGAAGAACAGCAGGGTGCCAGAGGCATTGCTCATCATGTGGTAGCATTGTCCAGGTAAGTAGAGTCGTAAATAGGCTTCAGAGGCCTTTCAGATGGGGACTCCTGAGTAAGTTCTTCCTAATGAAAGGCTGGGAGATAGAGGTTCCTTTCTGCCTTCAGCCTCACCTTTATTTAGTTGTCATTCACTCACAAACATGCACAACTTACAGGTCTTAGATACATTAAATGAACTTTCTACGGAGAAAATTTTAGTTTTTATCTAAAACTGCATGTACAAAAAGCATTATTATATCATATTTGATTTATGAATAAAAAACCTTTATATCCTTTCAAAGCCTCGTATTTTTACCACAGTGTTTCTTTTCTCCATGTCTGTCCCTCATTACTTTTCAACTCTACAGCTGATGCTAAACTTAAGGTGCAGCACCTCTTAAATGATTTGTCTTGATTTATTCTTTTTGGCCATCATTGGTGATATTTTTTGGGTGACTCGTATTTCGATATTCTGTAGTTTTTCTGGGACTCAGATATAAGACTATATTGTAGTATGTTGTGTTTTCTTCTTAGTGAAACACATGAATCTGGCTGCCTTCTCTATTTCTAAGTGAGCTTAGATCCTGCCAGTCAGTCCCCAGCCTAACTGTGCGCTCTCTGAAGACCTGGCAGTGACATCTTTGTGGTACTGGCTTCAGCTCATCAATGCAGAACTAACTTTAGGGCCTGGTGCTCTGTTGACACAGTGCCTGCTGCTCCGTGATGAGCTGGTTCTGGCCCTCTCAGCCCCATGGAAAGGGTCTGGGCCTGCCCTCAGCTCTGAACTACATTCCTTTAGCCATTAGTTTAACTTACTGTCTTGGAGCACAGGCTGAAGCCAGAATTCCTGGGTTTGAAGTCCTAGCTCCCAGTACTTCTAACTGGTAATCCAGGGTACCTAATCTCTCTCGCTCTCATTTTCTCCCTCCCTCTCGCTCTTCCTCTCCTGCCTCCCCTTCCCCGGCCCCCCTTCCCCACTCCTTTTCCAGGGCTCTGATGGAACCCAGGGCCTCATGCATGCTAGGCAAGTGCTATACCTCTGAGCTACACCCCCAGCCCTACTGAGTAGCTTTTGTCTAGTGAATATCTTTATTATTACTATTTTTTTAATGAGAGTGTAAAGGAAATTATAGTTGTTCTGGAATATTTCTCAAATTTTGTTGGCATCTGTACTTGTAAAAGACTTCCTCTTGTAAAATATAGAGAAATATAATATAGAAATGTGTTGAATGAGTGATTCAAAATATATAGATACATATAGTAAGCCCCCATCATGTGCGGAGCAGAGTTTGGCAAGTGAGTCTGCCGTGGTCAACAAGAACGGCAAGGCCTTGCCTCTCAGGGACCTGCATCCTGATGAGGGAAACAGATAAAGAACTGTGATAATTAGAGTTGGCAACAAGATGAGGCAGGATTTATGCTGTGGTCAGAATTGTTTTGGTTAGAGAGAGGATGGCCAGGCAGGGCCTCTCTGGGGAGGGGCCTTGGAACTGAGACCCAGAGGGGAAGGCTTGGGTGGAAGTGTGAAAGTCTGTGAGAAAGCATTCCAGTGGGAGGAGTGTGGCTTTGACATCAGGAGGGAGGCCAGGGTGGCCACAGCATTGTAAGAGCAGGCATCATGCAGAGATGGGAGAGGTAGAGGGCCCTTGAGGGCCTGAGAGGTTATTATGCACAACATAAGATTTACCATTTTCACCATTTTTAAGTGTACAGTTCAGTGGCTGTGCAGCCTTGACCACCAGCCGCATCAGAACTTCTTTCATTTTGCACAACTGAAATTTTGTACCAGTTAAACAACAACTATCCATCCTTTCTTCCCCCTTCAGTCCCTGGCATCTACCATTCTACTTTTTTTTTCTTGTTTTAATTTTTGTGAGTACTGAGGATTGAACCCAATGTACTTAACCACTGAGCCACATCCCCAGCCCTTTTTTATTTTTTATTTTGAGACAGGGCCCTTCTAAGTGTTTAGGGCCTCGCTGAGTTGCTGACACTGGCATTGAACTTGTGATCCTCTGCCTCAGCCTCCTGAGCTGCAAGGATTACAGGCATGTGCCACCCTGCCCAGCCACCATCCCCCTTTCTGTCTTTCTGTACTTGTCTACTCTGGCTGCCGTGTATGAGTGGAATCATACAGTATGTGTCCTTTATAGCTGGCTTAATTCATTTGGATTCATCCACGTCACAGCTCATCTCAGCATTTCCTGCCTTCCTTAGGCCAGTCTTCCACTGTATAGACCACATTTCGTTTGCCCATTTATTCACAATGACAGACTTTTAAACCAAGGAATGGCCAAGTCCATCTATCCTGTGGGCTACTAGCTAATGATGAGGACCAATTTGTCACTTAATTGCTCCAGTGAGAAGAAAAATTGTTAGTCAAGTGAAGGATCGTAACTGAAGGTGAAAGTCTAGAGTCAGTCTTGAGCCAGCAGCTTGTGCATGAAGAGTACTGAACTTGAATGAGTATCATTATCATTTTGGGAGCTTTAAAGGTGCGGATTTCGGGCCCACTTCTAGAGTAAATCATTAGGTTGTGGAGAATGGCCTGAGAATTTGCATTTCTAGCACTACAGCAGAGGTGCAGTTTAACTTCTGCTTTAATTTGACTAGAAGATAAAAGTTTTCGTAGAATGGTTTATATTGGTTATTGGGTTCACTGAAACGTTTTAATTACTATTGAATATAGTGGGAGTGTTTTGATCTGTTATTTTTAACAGTGTGTATCATGTCGTTCTGCGATAGGTATGAGTCTGTCAGTGTGACAGATTTTAAGTCAAGCTGGAGAAACGGGATGGCTTTTCTGGCTGTCATTCATGCCTTGCGACCAGACCTAATTGACATGAAGAGGATGAAGCATCGATCCAACAAGGACAATCTGAAAGAGGCCTTTGGAATTGCAGAACGAGAATTAAAAATCCCCAAATTGCTGGATCCAGAAGGTAAAGAAGCTTCTTTCTTTTTAAAACAATTTTTTTAAAGGTTCAGCATAAAGTTGATTTGAAACTAATATCTCTATGTAAGCAAACACAGCAACATTATATTTAGTCCTAGAGGGTTTAGCTTAAACTCTTTATTGAATTTCATGAAAAGAGGAATTCCTACCAATTAGTTAATAACTTCAGTAATATTAGGGGTGAAGCCACAGCTGGAAGCAGACAGTGACTTTATTGGAATAATTTGAGCCTTGGTCTTAATTTCCTTCTATTGTGTTCTTCTTGATCCTGTTATTTCTGTTGTAAATCCCTCATGAGATGTTTCTTTGAGTCTTGAATTATGGTTGTTATGTATCTCCCCTTTCCATTCCCTCCTCCTATTAAAACAGAACTTCTAGGAACAGAAACTGCTGCTCTCTCTGTTGTCCTTACTAGAAAGCCCTAAATACTGCGCCAGTTATGTTTGCAGAGATCACCATCAAATCATAATTTATTTTAACGTCATTAAATCAAGACTTTAAAAGCAAGATTAAAATGATTTCTTTCTGAAAAGCACTTTACTTTGAATTCTGTTGTTTCATAAACAAAACGACATTAAAAACAAAAGTCAGCGCTGGAGGTATATAGCTCAGTGGTAGAGCTTGTGTTTAGCATGCACAAAACCCTGGTTAAGTCCTCAGCCCTAAAAGAAAAAAGAATTAAAGTAATAAAAAGAGGTATACAGAGTTAGTGAAAGTTATAATGAACCAACAGATCAAGAGATAAAAATTCTAGTCTCAGTTTTATCACCAGGGCATATATTGTAAATGTTCAGTGGCTGGCTCTCCAGAACAATGTGAAACACACACATCTAAACATGTCATAAATTTTACTGAGGTAAAAGATATGTAGGACACAGTTTGTCAATAATAATATATGCTATGCATTATAAATTTCAAATAGCCCCAAAGTGCTAGTTGGTTTTTGTCAAGCTCTTACAATCATCTGTAGGCAACGTGGGGCTGCAGTTTGCTGAGCATGTGTAGTTCTTACACGAACTACACTTTGGTTGATAATTTCCTTTATGTTAATGATTAAGTGGAATAGCAACGAGGAATGTCAAAATTTCACTTGTTCTTCAGTGTGACAGGAGTTATTGCTTTGCTAAGTCAAATACTGGAAAAATATTTCTTGAATTTTTTTATACTATCACAGTGTAAGAGCTACAGATAGGACATACTTTTAGGATTTATGTATATCCTTAACAATTTCTCCATTCATTTTTTAGCATTCAACAAAATCAAGTTCTCATTTGCTTATTTTTTTTTGGTGCAAATACGACCGATATGGCTGATTTCAAGTTGCTGTCATGAAGTCACTGAGCATAGATTTGGGAAAAAATGTGGAGCAGCACACCATTATGTTATGTCCATCATACAAATGCAATGGACATAAATAACCCTATCCATAAATGCTAGTAAAATGCAAATATAGTAATTGGGGAATGATAAGTTTTGAGTATTTGTCACTCTTGCTTTTAATAGCATTTAATTGTATATTTACATAGTTTAATTTTAAAATTTTTTTTAAAAAATTTTTATTTGTTCTAATTAGTTATACATGATAGCAGAATGCATTTTGATACATTGTACATATTTCTCTGGTTGTACATAATGTAGAGTTGCACCACATGTGCAGTCATACATGTAACTAGGGTAATGATGTTCATCTCATTCCACCATCTTTCCTGCCCCCCATACCTCCACCCTTTCCCTCCCTCCCCTCATAGTTTAATTTTTAATGATGACTATTTTTTAAAAACAGATTACAAAACTACTGAACATTTAATATTCAGCTCTCTTAAATTAGTGTGAGCCAGCTGGCTCCTGTACACCAGTGGCCAGGTGACTGGGGATTTGTCATATATATATATATATATATATATATATTAAAAATAGTTTTTTGTTTTTTGGTGCTAAGGATTGAATTCACAACATCTTGCATGCTAAGCTTTCTCTCTACCATTGAGTTATACCCTCAGCCCAATGTTTTTGGTTTTAAGCAGTTTTATTGAGATATAATTCACATAGCATATAATTTAGCCATTTAAGGGTACAACTTAAGGTAATATATTCACAATATTGTTTGACCATCACCACTATCAATTGTAGAACATTCATCACCCTATAAGGAAACTCTGGGACCATTGGCAGTCACTCTCCATCTTCCAACCTCTCCATGCCAATTCTGAACATTTCACATACATGAAATCATAAAATATGTGATCTTTTGTGACTGTCTACTTTAAATTTGCATAATGTTTCCAAGATTCCCCCATGCTATAGCAGGTATTGATACTTCATCCCTCCATTTATTTATTTATTTATTTAATCTTTTATTGATTTTATTTTTTTAAATACATGACAGCAGTGGAATGCATTACAATTCTTATTATACATGTAGAATACAATTTTTCATATCTCTGTATATAAAGTCCTCCATTTATTTTTTAATTGGATATTTATTTATTTTGGTATAGGGATTTAACCCAGGGGCAATTTACCATGGAGCTTCATCCCCAGCCCTTTTTAAATTTTTTATTTTGAAACAGGGTCTCACTAAGTTGATTAGGGCCTTGCTAAGTTGCTGAGGCTGGTCTTGAACTTGAGATCCTCCTGTCTCAGCCCCACAAGCTACTGGGATTACAGGTGTGTGCCACCATGCCTGGCTTCATTTATTTTTAAATAGGCTTCATTTTTAATAACAGTTTTAGACTTTAAAAAAGTTGAAAATATAGTACAGTAAGTTTCCACATACCCTACACCAGTTTCCTCATTCTTAAAATTTTTCATTATATGGTACATTTGTTGTAACTAAAGAACCAATAGTGACATATCATTACAATTAAAAGCCATGCTTTCTTTGAATTTCTTTAGTTTTTACTTAATGACCTTTTTCTCTTTCAGAATGCTCCCTGGGACCATATTACATTTAGTTATCTTGTCTCCTAGGCAACTCTTGACTGGACTGTTTCTTACACTTTTTTGTTTTTTATGACCTTGACAGTTTTGTAGATTGCTGGTCAGGCATTTGCAGGAGGTCTCTTTATTACAATTGGTTTCATATTTTTTCCCTCATAATCAGTGTATTAGTGGGTTCTTGGGAAGAAGGCCTAGAGGCAAGATGCTGTTTTTTTTTTAAAATTTATTCTAATTAATTATATAAGACAATAGAATGCAGAATATTACTCAGCCTTAAAGAAGAATGAAATTATGGCATTTGTAAGTAAATGGATGGAGCTGGAGAAATATTATTCGAAGAGAAATAAGCTAAACCCCAAAACCAAGGTGCTATTCTTATCACATTGGTTCAAGGGTACGTGCTGTCAGTGTGGCTTGTCACTGTTGATGCTGACCTCGACCACCTGACTGAGATAAAAATGTCCCTCGGCTTTGTCTGCTGTGAAGTTTCCCCCTCTCCTTCATATTGTACTCTTTGCAGGGAAACCACTGCATAGCCCATATTTAGGTGAATGAGGCTGGCCCTCCTTGATGGAAGGTTATTAACAGGTCTTCTGCATAGGAGATTTGTCTGTTTTCCATTTATTATTATTTTTTAATTCAAGCATTTATTTATAAGACTATGTGCTTGTTGATATTTTATTTTATACTTGGCAATTGTACTCCAATACTATTTTGTTTGTTTTAGAGCTCGATTCTTTTTTTTTTTTAAAGTTTGTTTTAACATAAAAGCATTGGCTATTGGGAGCTCTTTCAGTTGGCTCCTGTGTTCCTTGGATGTATCCCCATCTACCTGGGGTCTGCCTGTTTGGTTTTCACGAGAGTTCAATATTTATTGAGATAATATTTTATTCTTTCTTTTTTTGATCCTTGGGATTGAACCCAGAGCCTAGTGCATATTAAACATGTGCTGTACCATTGAATCACACCCCCAGCCAAATTAGGTGACATCTCTAAATTCACAGTTAGGATAATGATTCCACATTTCTGTATATCAATTTGGGGATTGGTCTGGTTTCATGTTGTTGTTGTTGTTCTTTTTTTTTTTTTCAGTGTAATTCTTGATTAATTCTTGTTGACTTTTATTCCTGTTTTTTTGTCTTCCCTCTCTTTTTACCTTTTTAAAATTTCCTCTCCATCTTTATCTTTCTCTTTTCCTTTTTTTAAAATTTTTGTTAGATATTTTTTTTTTATTTTTCTCATACTTTGTTCTAATTTCTTATTTCTGATTACTGTCCTTTAAAAAAAGCTTACATTGTGATTCTTCAAATCTTCACTCTTAGGATGAAAATTTCTTTCTCTCTCTTTCTCTTTTGGAGTTGGGGGTCTTTCTGTGTTTGTTGTGCACCTGTCCTTGAACTTCTGGGCTTAGTGTTCCTCTTGCCTTATCCTCTTTAATGGTTGTATTTTTTTTTCTATTTTAGTATGTGCAAATAATTAGGCAGTTAATAGAACAGACAATATAATAAAAATTTCCTGGGCTGGAGTTGTGGCTCAGCGGTAGAGTGCTCCCCTAGCATGTTTGAGGCCCTGGGTTCGATCCTCAGCACCACATAAAAATAAATAAATAAAATGAAGGTATTGTGTCCAACTACAACTAAAAGATAAATATTTTAAAAAAGAAACAAATTTCCTCTGTATAAATGATTGCCCACAATATATTGTAGTTTAAATAGTAGGTCAAAAATGTGAGATGCATTATGACTATTTATGCAAACCAAATATCGTAGTCATATTTGATTAAGGGACCTTTCCTCTGACACAATTTTGTTAAACTATTTAATCCTCATGCATCATGGCTTCATATAAAATGAGAAGTCTAAAAAGAAATATTTAGTCAAGCCAGTATCATTATTTTATGCGTCTCTTGATATTTACATCTCTTCCATCGAAAACAGAGTAACTCGACTCTTAGGAATCCTTCCTATATTGAAACCTCAGCCCCAACTTTTTATTGATAGCTTTTATATGCTTACTGCCTTGTGTGATATTATTTGTTCATGGATTAAATTTACTTTCTCCTTTAGCTGACTTATAGCACTCTTTGGGCCTAGTGAACAGGCTCACTAAAACATCCTAGTATGTTATATGTGTCATTTATTTTTCTCCTAGCCATCAACACCTTGAGGGGCAGACAGTGCCTGAGAGCATCTAGCATCTACTTGTTGAATGAACGAAGGGATGAATCATAAGGTCCCTGAGGGCAAGGACTATACCTGATACACCTTTGTAGCCTTTTACCTGCCTTTGTTAGCTCTCTATGTGTTGCATTGAATTTAACTGAATTAATAAGTAGAGAAGATTTCCTTGTCAGTATGACATATTAGTTGTTTGGGCAACAAAGACACATCCCCAAATGAAGTGTTTTGTCTATGGCATATTGAATCTCTTTATGATTTTATGATTCACTTGATTTATTATATGCCTGGAGAAGTCCTGCACTTAAACAATTTAAAACCATTTTGACTCTCTGGGAAGTCCCTGTTTTTCGAACTTATTTTGCAAGGGACTTCTTTAATACAACATGGGGGAATTTCTGCACCATGTCTCTAGAAAGGGAAATGCTTTAATTTTCTTCTCTCTACCTTCTTGAATACTTATGGCCTCACACATATAGCATCATAGAAACTTTGTAACTAGGAGACTGAGGCTGTGTACATACCCATGCCAGAATTGCACAGATGTGGCCCTAGATATAAGCCCTGTGCACAATGTTGGAGCAAGGTTGAATGAGCAGAGATTGCATGGTTACTCAGCTACTTTGGTTCAAGAGCCTGTGAACCCAATGGCATAGGCTGTGGCATAGCTTGCACTTGAGTATTCATTATAGTAAATTAACATCTAAAGCTAATTGATAGTGTGGTATATCTTGCAGACGTGGATGTTGTTAACCCCGATGAAAAGTCAATCATGACCTATGTGGCACAGTTTCTGCAATATTCCAAGGATGCTTCTCGGACTGGAGATATGACTCAGGTATGTCTTTATCAGTATAAATGAAGTCATTTTGTTGTATATGACTACTGGTTTAATTTTTAAAAACTAGGCTATGATTTTCATACAGAATTTAATTATATAGATCAGTGATTTTTTTTTTTTTTTTGGTATCAGGGATTCACCCAGGATGCTCAACCACTGAGTCACATCCCAGCTCTTTAATTTAAAGCAAAAAAAAAAATATTTTTTTTTTTTTCATTTTGAGACAGGGTCTCGCCAAGTTGTTTAGGGCCTCTATAAATTGTTGAGGCTGACATTGAACTTGCAGTCCTCCTGCCTCAACCTCCCAGGCTGCTGGGATTACATGTGTGCGCCACCATGCCTAGTTTAGATCAGTTTGTTTTGACAAATGTATATACCCTTGTAAACCATTATGATGTGAAACAATGTTACCTACAACATTCCATTGTGCCTCTTGTCTTATTATTCATCCCAGACAGCCAGTATTCTAATTTCTTTCACTGTAGTTCATTTTTCTACCCTTTTTTCCCTAAGGTAAAAGTGATAACTTCTTAAGCTTTACTGAATTACCTAAAAATGAATTTTAGCCAGGTGTGGTGGCACATGCCTGTAATCCCAGCAATTTGGGAGGCTGAGGCAGAAGTTCACAAGTTTGAGGCCAGCCTCATCAGCAATTTAGTAAGGCCTTAAGTAACTTAGTGAGACCTTGTCACAAAATGAAAACATAAAAAGGGCTGGGGATGTTGCCCAGTGTTTAAATGCCCCTGGATTTAGTCCTTGGCACCTAAATAAAGAAATTAATTGTTAATCTACAATGCATTTTATTTATTTCTTTATTGGGACAAATTAAATGAAGCTAGGTTTTAAACAATTTTGGAGTTATTTGAATTTTTGTGTATTATAACTTTTATTCACTTTATTGATATATAATTCATACACCATAAAATACAATTATTTAAAGTGTATGGTACTATGTGTTTTTGGAGTATTTACATGATAATGCAACCATTATCATCATCTAATTTTAGCACATTTCCATTTTGCCTCTGTTTTAGCTTCATGTAAATGGAACTGTGTAATTTGTATAAATGGAAGCATTGTGTTCTACCTTTGATCCTTGTTTGTTGCGATATTCTTGAAATACCAGTAGAGTACCTTTTGATTATTCAGTAGTTCCCTTTTACTTTCAGTCTGTTACACAGTGTAGGTAGAAATTTCATAAAAATCACTGAGCTGAAAAGAAGCCCTTATTCTGATTCTTATTCTGATTTTATGAAGATACACGAGTGCTGGGAAGTCAGTGAAATGTTTATGAATATTATTTTCAAATTTATTTTAAATCCCTTTCTCAGATGTGTTTACATACATCTTATTTGACAAACTGGGCCTCTGTTTTTCCAGCTGTGGTGTTTGAGGCAAGAAGCCAGATTGTTGCTGACTCTGGAAGGGAGGCTCAAGCTGAGGCTCGGCTTCTAACTCATTTCACTTGTTTCTGACCTGCTGAGGAGCTACTCTTTCCTAATTAATTTTCATATTCAAAAATAAAATGAAAAATTCAACTGTCCATGAAATTGAATGCAAAAAAAAAAAACCCCACTCTTGCCTACTAGATAAAACTCAAATGAAATTTTTAAAAAATTAGAAATAAGGTGTGACTTCTGCTTTATCCTCTAGCATTAAAGTCTGCTTCCAAATGTAAGCCAGCTACCACCTAAGCAAGAATTGAATCTAAGAAAAGAATAATTTTTGCTCACTTCCATGTGATAGCACCATCAAAACTTTTAGTAGTGTTATTTTAGGACCTTTAAAACATTCAAGATATTTTTGATGCCAGTGCTTTTCTCAGGAAGTGAACGTCTCTTGAGTTCTTCCCTATTTAGATTAATTGGAAAACACTCTTCTAAAATGCCTACTATAAAGTAGTGATTTGGGATAATGTTCTCTGAAATTGAATAATAGAAATGGATGGGCCAAAACCAGAGGGGCATTGCTTGCTTCCCCCTTTTTTTTTTTTTTAAGTACACTCTGATGTTTAGATGTTAGTTTCAATCTATTTTAAAATTTAAGGTGTTGTATGAATAAGCAAAATTACTTTTTGGCACTGAGTCATTGGAGTGTTATGATGACATTATTTCACCGATGTTTCAAGGTGTTGATTTTATTGTTAACAAAAAAGGTCGTCAAGTCTATTTAGGGGAGAGTTTAAATGTGTCTGTGTGTGTGTGAATTACAGAGCAAGGTAAAAGACGCTATGGCCTGGCTAACTCTGCAAGAGAAAAAGCTGCAGGAGGCACTGAAGGAGTCAGAAGGCAAGACCTACTTTAAAAAATATCATGTAAGTGTGACTTTAAATACCTATTTGTATGTAGTTTACTCTTTTAGGGAAGAATAATAAATGCCTTTTTAGAAAACTCTTTCTAAGTTAAATATTTAAATACTCAATCAACTCCAGGTTTCAGGGCTGAATAATAAGATAGCGCTTCTGAAACTTTAATGTGCATGTGAATCACAGTGCAATCTTGTTTAAATGCATTTTTAGATTCAGTAGTTCTGGGGCAGGAATTTTACATTTCCAGCAAGGTCCCTGCTGTTGTTGATGGCGCTGATACTTGGAGTACTTCACGCAGCAAGGTTCTCCTACAACACGAGTTGAGTGGCTGCAAAAGAGACCATCTGGCCCATAAAGCCATCTTTACTGTCTTGCCCCTTACAATGAAAGTTCTCCAATCCCTGGTTTATAGCAGAACATGCTTTTTTTGAAAAAAAAATTTTTTTTTTCTTAGCTGTAGTTAGACATAATACCTTTGTTTTATTTATTTATTTTTATGTGGTGCTGAGGATCGAACCCAGTGCCTTGCATGTGCCTGAGGAGGGCTCTACCGCTGAGCCACAACCCCAGCCCCAGAATATGCTTTTTTATTATGAATATTGAATGAAAGGAAAAATCAGGAAATGAGCAATGGGGCATCCCAGAATTCTAATACACGGCCTCAATCAAGGAGTCCTTTGGGAAATAATGACAACTATTATTATTATTATTTCTTTTTGGTGCTAAGGATTAAATCTAGGGCCTTGTGTGTGCTACAGTGCTTTGCCACAGGGCTATATCCCCAGTCCTAATGATAACTTTCATCATTATCACCATATATTCAGTATTGCTATGTGCCAGGCACCTTGCTGATAAGTACTTTACAGGTTAAGACATCTTGCTGAGTTTGGAGTTGTTATTTCAGTTTGATAGACGAAGATAATAAGGTTGGGAGAGAGTAAATGACTTATCTAAGGTTACGTAGCTACTAAAGGGTTGGAGTAGGGTTTTTTTAGAGAGTAGCTTTAAACTTCTTGCTCTTTTTATATCCTGTTGCTGTTCCAGGGTAAGTGGGTATTCATTGTAGATTTTTTTTTTTTTTTCAGTACTGGGATTGAACCCAGAGGGGCTCTACCACTGAGCAACATCCCATCCTTTTTTATTTATTTTTTTCTGTTTGTGGTACTAGAGATTTAACCCAGGGGTGCTTTACCAATAAGCCACTTCTGAGTCCTCATTATTTTTCTTTCTTTCTTTTTTTTTTTGTGCATTCCAGGGCCTTGTAGATTCCAGGCAAGCACTCTACCAATGGAGCTATATCCCCAGCCCCACCCCCATTAGTTTTTACAGTGAGATAGTGGGCTTTGAACTTGTGATCCTTTCTTCAGCCTCCCGAGTAGCTGGGATTCCTAGTGTATACCACCATTCCTGGCTAAGCCATTTTATTTTGAGACAAGTTCTCACCAAATTGCTGAGGGACTTGCGAAATTGCTGAGGCTGGCTTTGAACCACTTATCCTTCTCCCTCACCCTCCAGAGTTGCCCCACCAGACTTAGCCTGGAACTTTTCATCCTTCTGACTCGGCCTCCTCAGGGCTCCTGGACAGTACAATTAGAAGCGTTTGTTCTCATTATAGAATCTTGAAGGAGCCAAGGTGAAGGTGTCTGAGTCCCATATCTTAGAGTCCCTTGTCTATGCAGTTCTGTGTTTCCTACCATCTCTCTGTTCTGGATAAGGTGGGGTGCTATCCATGTGTCCTCACAGCCACTAGCACTGGAGGTCTCCACTGCCCTATCTGTGAGGTGAGGGAGATGGGTGAATCCAGCCTCAACAACTCTAATACTCAACAGGTGTGTGATTTGTGCACCATACCATTGTTTTTATTTGAAGCCATCTGGGAAAGAAGAGACAAGACTTTCTCATCTTCCTTTGGTTGAAGCAGTATAGAAGTCTTGTGCTTCTTAGCTCTGGTCTAAGATTCTTCTTGTTGACCAAATGCTCAGTGTTCAATGGAAGTGTATCATTCAGGCACACATCTTTGATTTAGGAATGTATAATAGATTCATATTTCCTAAATAAAAGGGCTTCATGGAGTTACTAATTATCAGAAAGAAGTTAAATAAATTAATTACCCCTTGGTTTGTGCATAGTTTTTTTTTTTTTCCTGATGCGCAGAGTCTCACTGTGTTGAACTCTTGGGCTCAAACAATCCTCCCATCTCAGCCTCCTGAGCACCTGGACTAAAAGAATGTGTCACTAGGCCCATCTCATATAAAATTCAATTAGAAATAATCAGTAATTATATAAATAATATTTATAGAATTAATAACTCTTTTTTTTTTCTTCAGTGCTGGGAATTAAACACAGGAGTACTCTACCACTGAACTACATCATCAGCCCTTTTTATTTTTTTATCTTGAGATAGGGTCTTGCTAACTTGCTCATATTGGCCTTGAACTTGTGATCCTTTTGCCTCAGCTTCCTGAGTCACTGGGATTACAGGAGTGTGCCACTGCATCTGACAGAATGGATAACTGTTAAACACTCTTCACACAAATGTGAACCAAGAAAAGCTTTGTTAATTGAATGTGAGGTGGCAGGGAGAAAGTGGTTGTTTTTGTTTTTTGTTTTTTTTTTTGGTCTACGTAAAATGAATTTGGAAGAATTGGTTCAGGTTGAGTTAATCACAAACACTTTGAAAATCATTTGTGCATGACAACACTGTGATATGATTCTCACATGTACTTGTTCTTATTTTGTTGTGAACCCATATTTGGGAGGACACACCAATTCACATTTTCCATGTGGCGTCATGATCTATCCTATAGAACTGGATGTTCTATTCCAGCAGGCATCCAACATTGTGCACACAGGTCACAAGCCAAGACTCATTTGGCTGGTACCCAAATTATCAGGATGCACTGAAGAAAGAAACCAGATCAGAGAGCAGCTCCTGGGGTCAGGGATTTTACCTTTATCTAAGCTAAATTTAAATATGATCTTTAGGTACAGGTCTTCAAAGAGCAAATTACATTTTATAAAGTGAATTAACTGTTTCAGCCTTTAAAATATTCTTCTAATTATAGAGCCTGACGTCCTATATGGAGTTATTCAATGAAGAAAAAGTACGCTTTCTGGAAGTACTGTCACTAAAAAGGGATCAGCAGGAGCTGAATGAAGATGAATTACACTTGAGAGAAGCCTGGGATGGCCTCAACCAAAAGGTTACTGTTATGTTGGTCTGAAGAACATTTTCATGGGCATCTTTGTTTTGTTGAATGAAGACTTTACTGTAGACTTTCATGAAGAATTCTATAAAACACAGGATAGATGCTTCATCAGAAAATGGGATAATATTATATTTTTTTCCATAGCATCATTTGGAGAATAGTTGGATTTAAATAAGAATTTGTGGCATTGTGCTTAATTGCAAACTTATCCAATGTTATATTCTTACTTTTCTTGGTTTACCATGATAGATTATACCTATTTTGCCACACAGTAGATGATTTGGTTGACCTGTAGCTTCTACACCATCGTGTGTCAATATCAGTAGATGCTTGAAAGGGTTAGGGACAAACCCAGAAGTTATGTGTAAGGATGGATATATGTGTGTTAAGTCTGAATCTATCTGTATGATTTTCGTCCTTGTAAATTTATTAAGACTTGATTTCTGGCCCTGATTATGGTGTGTATGCATTTGAAAAGAATGTGTATTCTGCAATTATTGCATGTAAGTCTATAAATATCAACTGTAGTGTTATTCAGACTGTCAGTTTGTTCAGTTGTTATCCCAACTGCCAAGAGATATTAAACTTTGTAGAAATCTCTCTTTAAAAAAAAAAAAAAATATATATATGTGTGTGTGTGTGTGTGTGTGTGTGTGTGTGTGTGTTATAGAAGGACACAATACCTTTATTTTATTTATTTATTTTTATGTTGTACTGAGGATCAAATTAAGTACCTCATACATGCTAGGCAAGTATTCTACCACTGAGCCACAACTGCAGCCCCTAGAAATCTCTTTTCAATTCTGCCAAATTTTGTTTTATGCATTTAAAAACTTCGTTAGGTATATACACATTTATGATTGTTGTGGCTTCCTAATTAATTGATACTTTTACCATTATGAAATACCTCTGTTTATCTTTAGTAATACCATTGTATTTTTTTTTTGCAGTCTACTTATTCTAATATGAATGGGGTCATTCTAGTCTTCTGATGCCAACTGTTTATATGGCACATCTCTTTTCTTCATTTACTTTTAACCTCTTTGAGTTTTTCTATTGACAGAGCATCTCCAATTCTGTTAGCACAGAATTGGATCTCACTTTCTTATCCACTCTGAAAACCTGCCTTTTAATTAGAGTGTCTAGTCCATTTACTCTTAATGTAATTATTGCTATGGTTCAAATTAGGTACACCATTTGACTTTTTGTTTTGTTTATTCCTTGTTTGTTTGTATCTCCATTTCTTCCTTCTTGTCTTCTTTTGAATTGTTGGGGTTGTTGTTGCTGTAGAATTCTATTTTAATTTGTCCATGACTTTTTCATTCTACCTCTTTCCCTCATGTTTTTAGTGGTTGTTCTAAGGATCACCTTATTTATACATTCCACACTTTTTGCAGTCTGGTAGAGTCGTATAATTCCTTAGTTATTGTACAACTTCTTTAAACACATAAAATTCTTGCCATCAAACTGATTCACTTGCCTCCTGTTCTTTATCTTATAGTTAGTTGTTCTATATATAAATGCATGTTTGACATGTATATCATAAATGTGGCATAAACATATTTTAAAGCTCCCAATGCCATGTTATAATTTCCTTGCCTCAAACAGCCATATATTTTAAAGAATATTATTTTAAGAGGAATTAATCTTTCATATTTATCTTGATGGCTACTCTTTTTAATTCCTCCTACAGATTTTAGTTTTCATTGAAGCCATTTTCCTTATGCCTAAAATCTTTTATTTAATCTTACAGTGCAGTGACAGATTTCTTTGATCTCTAAATGTCTTTATTTTGCCTTCATTTTTACAAAACAATTCTATTGAGGTATAATTTATATATTATAAAATCCACTTATTTTAAATTGGTAATGAAATAATTTTTAATGAATTTGCGGAAAGACTATATGGCCCACAAAGTCAAACTTATTACTCTGGCTTTGAATAGAAGATGTTTGCTGATTTCTGCTTAGCTATCAGAAGGGTCGGCCTGTTTTCTGAATATGTTTTCCACACTATATATTGACTTAAATAGTCGTCCCCCGGCTTAAAAGAGCCATCCTTTCTGAGGATCTAAATTTGAAAAGAAGTGCACTTCCAGGAATCCTACCGTCAAGGGGTAGGCTCATTGCACTGTCTGCACCTGCTGATCTCAACTTCGAACCTGACTCTTGTGAAGGGACAAGAGCTGCCTGTGACAGGTCCTTAATAAAAGTCAATGAAGAAGAGAGTGTTTGTACAGTTCAGCCTGTTCCAGGACACAGAGACCTGGCCTAAGTACTCAGAATATGATTTGGAAAAAAAAAAATATCTGAGATAAGGAGCAAAATCACAAAAAGAATTATTTTGCAAGATTAAGTGCTACAAATTGATAGTATCCGAAAATTCTATTCTTATTCTAGCAGACTGCAGTTTATTTCTCAATGTGGCAAAATGAGATGTGCTGATTTTGAAGTCATCCGGTATATAAAACTTAGTATCATCCAATTTTTTGATTCAGTAGTTTGAGAACAGGGTTATCTTAAAGCTTCCTAGTAATGGTTTCATTTTAAGTCTGCTATAGGGAAAAAAATGTTTTATTTTTGATCTGATAAGATCTTATATAAATTTTCAACCAAATTCAAAAGTAATTGTCTGAGAAAGGAAGTGTGGAACCTGTTTTCTATGTTAAGTGAGAAAGGAAAGGAATGAAAAAATAAACATTGCCTGCCTCTGTTTTTCTTCTTTTGACTACTATATAAATATTTTCAGTGTGACCCTAAGTAAAAAGCACAAGTTTGGTTTCATTTAAAAAAAAAAAAA